AGGAGCACATGGAAGATCAGAGAAGGGCCTCTCTCTTCATGGAGGTGGCAGATTATGTTGCTCCTCCCATCCCCCTTGCAAGGACTTAAACCCAGACTGAGGCTGGCAGGGGCACGGGAGACATTCTCTGGCCCTCACCTCTCTCTAGGCCCCTTTGGATATCCTGTGCTTGGTCCTCAGTGAAACCCTGGGCCAGGCTTGCCCTCAGGGTAATGAAGTTGCAGATGACAGTCAATTCCAAGGGGAGAACAAGAACAGCTGCAGGGAGTCCTAGAGCAACAAATGCTGGTCTCACAGGCTGCTCCCCCATAAAAGAGTCCCTAAACACCCCACCTCAACCAAATGGCCTCAATGAAGAATGCACCCTTTAAAAAAGAAAAGACTCCTTGGACAGAGTTTGGAAAGGGCAAAAAGTTCTCCAGATTAGACCATTCTGGGAACCACATCTTCAAACGCTGCTGCTGTGTGTGTGTGTGTAGCCAGGAGATTCACTTGTACAAAGACATCCACGCCCTGTGTGTGCCTTAAACAGCCCACCCCCCCCCCCGAATAATCGCCTCAATCCCAGAAATGGTGAAGAGGTCTCTGGCTGTGGAGGGGCAGAAGTGTGTGTGTTTCGGGACGGGAGTGGGGGAGTGGGGGGGCGGGTTTTTAACTGACCATCCTGGAGAGGACCCTGCTTACCCTGCAGACTCTGGAGGAGTCCTCTGAGCCCTTCCAGCGCATCTTGAGCCAACTGCTGTCGCCTCGGAGACAGACCCAAGTCCTGAGCCACCTGACAAACATGGGGTGTAGCGTCACGGAGAATAAGCCATTTCCTCTACCCCGGCAGCAGTGGCAAGGGGGGTCATTCTCCAGTCATTTCTGGCTTTAGGAGGAAGTCAAGCTCACCCCCTCCCCATTGGCTGGGGTAAGTCCACAGCAAACCCTCTTTCTGGTATTTTGGGGCTGCAAAGCGAGATCCAAGCAACCACGTTACCTTGGCCTGTCGAACTAGCTGGTCATTCTTTTCCCTCCACAGGTCCAGGCAGCTGGCTTGTGGCACTGAGGAGCCCAGAGGGGTCTGATGGGACATGGCTGAGCCCGGAGACCTGGAGAGGGCTGCGAAAGGGTAAGCCTGTCCCCACCGAAGCCCCCACCCGAGGGGGAGGAGCCGTGCACCCTCCTGGCCCGGCCGGCTCTCACCCTCGCCTCCAGTTGGCCGGGCCGGCAAGACTCTCAGCTGCTGTTGGTTGTCTCCGAGGCACACTCCCCCGCGGGAAACTCGAAAAAGAAACGATCCGGACACGCCAGTGAGGAAGGCAGAGGCGGGCCGGGAGCCGGAGGCGTGTCTCAGAGCGGGGTTCTACCGCTCGCCGTTCCACCAGCTGGACTCTCGCGCCCAGGCTTTAAGAAATCGATATTGAAAACAGAGCCCGCGGGCTCAGCGCCTCCCTTGCAGCCACACTTCCAGGTCTATGGTTTCCCCGCCCTCCGCGGAGGGCAGGCCGTGCGATGCATTCTGGGAATTGTAGTACCGCCGAGAGACGCTAGAAAAGTTCGGCCCGGAAGCAAGTGTCTCCAAAAGGAACCGACAGGAGACCAAGGCCTTGGGTAATCGGGCCATCCTTTTTCTGTTCACCATGGAGCATCAAACTCTCACCACAGTCGGCTCGACCGCCTGCAGTCTGCCTGCTGGCAGCGCGCCCTGGCCCTGTTTGTGCAGCCTGCACTGCTGCTCACAGGTATAGTACCTGCCCAATCCTTTCAGCAAATCGAGCCAGGAGACTTGGATATCCGGGTGCAACAAACAAGAAACAACTGCGACCATTACCTCACATAAAATCAACTCAAAATGGGTAGGTTGGACTTCATTAAAATGAAAAACGCTTATGCTACAAAGACATCATCAAGAAAATTCAACCACAGCCGAAACCGGTTTGGCTCAGTGGATAGAGCGTCGGCCTGTGGACTGAAAGGTCCCAGGTTCGATTCCGGTCAAGGGCATGTACCTGGGTTGCGGGCACATCCCCAGTGGGAGATGTGCAGGAGGCAGCTGATCGATGTTTCTTTCTCATCGATGTTTCTAACTCTCTATCTCTCTCCCTTCCTCTCTGTAAAAAATCAATAAAATATATTTAAAAAAAAAAAAAAAAAAGAAAATTCAACCACAGCCCGGCCCACGTGGCTCAGTGGTTGAGCTTCTGTCTATAAACCAGAAGGTCATGGTCCGATTCTGGTCAAGGACACATGCCTGGGTTGTGGGCTCCATCCCCAGTGTGGGGTGTGCAGGAGGCAGCTGATCAATGATTCTCTCACATCATTGATGTTTCTCTCTCTCTCTCCCTCTCCCTCTCAGAAATCAATCAAAATACATTTTTAAAAAGAAAGAAAATACAACCACAAAGTGGTAAAAAATAGTTTGCAAACCATACATTTCATAATGGACTTGTATCCACAACATGTAACTCTCAAAGCTTTATAATAAAAAGACTTACTTGAAGCATTTTAAAGCAGGCAGGAAAAAAAACATGAACTGAAAAAAAAGATACATGAATAGCTAAGAAGCACACAAAAAGATGCTCAACGTCATTAACCATTAGGGAAATACAAATTAAAACCATGAGATACCATTATGCACATACACACAAAGAATAGTTATAATAAAAAATACAGATAATACCAAATGTTGGCGAAGATGTGGAGAAACTGGAATCCTCATATATTAAAGATGGGAATTTAAAATAGTACAGTTACTTTGGAAAAGTTTGTCAGTTTCTTTAAAAGTTAATCATAAACTTATATGACCTAGCAATTCCACTCCAAGAAAATGTGGACGAAAGCGGCCACATGCGAACCTGACAAACTCAGAGGTCTGCATGGCAGTCTTGCAAACTCAAAGACCTAAAGTAACCACAAAGGATGGTCTGAAATTAAACTTTAACTAAAAGCAGTTATGGTGGGTAGTCACCTCCTAGGCCTGTATCTTCCCTGATGAGGTCAACCTTTACCTTAACTGAGCTTATTGTCTTTTTGCATCTACGATAACATATTATTGAAATGTCAGGGTAACTTGTAACTTTTTTTGGACCCCTCAGGCCACAACCAAATATGCTCGGCTCCAGGGCAGATACCACAAATTCCTTCATTGTTATTGTTATCATGTTGTTGACTGCTAACTATCCCACCTAAGTAATGTGTCTATCATTTTACTTTTTATCCAATCCCAGAGGTCATCCTTTCCCCATCCTTCCCCCCCGCCCCCCGCCCCCCGCTTTTGCTTTCTCCTGCTCCCTAATCTATCACCAATGGATTTCATGTAAACCACTTATGACTTCTCCTTTGATGTAACGTATAAAACAAGGTGAAAAAATACCATTCTCCAGAGCATTATCCCAATCCATTGAGAGTCTGCTTCCTAGCAACTGTGGACAGTTTGGCTCAAATAAACACAAAAATTCCTTATAGGTTTTAATGTTTTTATATTAACAAAATCCTCCCAAGAGAAATGAAAACAGACTTATATGCAAATGCTCATAGCAGTTTAGTTTGTTGTTGTTAATCCTCACTGAAGATATATATATTTGTTTCCATTGATTTTTAGAGAGTGGAAGGGAGGAAGAGACACAGAGAGAAACATCGATGTGAGAGAGGCACATCTATTGTTGCCTCCCGCACAGACGGAACCTGCAAGCAAGGTACATGCTGCAACCCGACCTTTCAGTCCTCGGCCAGGGCACTCATAGCAGTTTTTAAAAACATATTCACAATGCTTTTAAAAACTGGAAATAATCCAAATGTCCATCAGATCATAGCCATGCAATGGAATATATGACTCAGCAATAAGTCATAAAGTGATGATGTACCAATATGGATGAATCTCACAACCTTATTCTAAGTCAAAGAAACCAAACCAAAAGACCACATATTGCATTCCATTAATATGAAATGTCCAGAAAAGATAAATTATAAAGACAAAAAGAGTGGGAGGGGATTGATTGTAAACAAAGACAGGGAATTTGTGGAAGTGATGAAAATTTTCTAAAACTAAATTGTAGCAATTGATAATAGTTTTTTACATATGATATGAAGAGAACAACATGGCAAAAGAAAAAATAGAATAAAATGAACATCAAAACTTTAAAATTTTATTTTTATGTGCTATATAAATAGGTTAATTAGCAGTATAACTAAATAGTAAGGCTGCCAGTCTCCTTCAGACAAATGAACAAACAAAACTTTAAAATTTTGAGCTTCAAAGGACACTGTCAAGAAAATGAAAAGAGCCCTGACCAGTTTGGCTCAGTCGATAGAGTGTTGGCCTGTGAACTGAAGCATCCCGGGTTCGATTCCAGTCAAGGGCATGTACCTTGGTTGCGGGCACATCCCCAGTAGGGGGTGTGCAGGAGGCAGCTGATCGATGTTTCTAACTCTTTATCCCTCTCCCTCCCTCTCTGTAAAAAACCAATAAAATAAGTTTTTAAAAAAAGAAAATGAAAAGATGACCCACAGAATGGATAGAATATTTTCAAATCATATATGTGATAAAGGACTTGTATCTAGAATATATAAACAATGTTTATAACTCAATGATAAAAAGAAAAGCCAATTAAAAAACAAAGGATCTGCTCAGCCTGCATGGCTCAGTGGTTAAGCGTAGACCTATGAACCAGGAGGTTGATTCCCGGTCAGGGTACATGCCCAGGTTGTGGGCTGTCCCCAGTGTGGGGCATGTGGGAGGCAGTCGATCAATAATTCTGTCATCATTGATGTTTCTCCCTCTCTCTCCCTTCCTCTCTGAAATCAATAATATAAATTATATACAATAAAATATATATATATATATAATACAAATAATAAAGTAAAAGGTGCAAACAACCCAAATGTCCATCAGTAGATGAATAAACAAAATGTGCTATATCCATACAATGGAATTGACCATAAAAAACGAAGTACTGATTCACACTGCAACATAGATGAACCTTGAAAACATTAGGCTGAGTGAAAGAAACCAGACGGAAAAGACCACATATTATATGAATCAATTTATATGAAGTATCCAGAATAGGCAAATCCACAGAAACAGAAAACACATTAGTGATTGTCACAGGCTGGGGGCAAAGAGGATTGGAAGTGACTGCTAATGGATAAGTGATTTCTTTTGAGGGTGATGGAAATATTCTGGAAATAGTAGTGGTGGTAAGACATTGTAAATGTACTAAGGGCCAATGAATTGTACACTTTTGTTTGTTTTCAAGAGAACATTTATTGGGTAAATTACAGAGGTAGAAAAAGTAATTCCTAGATGAAATGGGCTTAGGAAATGAGTTATGGAGGTAAAGGGCCCTTGGTGCTTGGGAGAAAGGAAGCCAGGTAACCTGCCTGGGGCAGGGAGTGGGAGGGAAAGCATGGGGAGTCCTCCATCCTAAGGGTTTTATTTATTTATTTTTTTAAATATATTTTATTGATTTTTTACAGAGAGGAAGGGAAAGGGATAGAGTTAGAAACATCGATCAGCCGCCTCCTGCACACCCCCCACTGGGGATGTGCCCACAACCAAGGTACATGCCCTTGACCGGAATCGAACCCGGGACCCTTCAGTCCGCAGGCCGACGCTCTATCCACTGAGCCAAACCAGTCAGGGCAATCCTAAAGGTTTTAAGGATGATTTTAGGGGAGGTCCTTTGTTAGGCACCTGGGGCTTTCCATCTAGGTGACTTTCTGTACCTGGCCCATTATCCTTGTTCTGCTCATTGTCTGTCTAATTGCATACTACAATAAGACCCCCTGCCTTTCCCTAAGGGAAGGTCTGAATTGTACACTATTTTTTTTTTTCAATATATTTTTATTGATTTCAGAGAGGAAGAGGGAGAGATAGAAACATCAATGATGAGAATCATTGATTGGCTGCCTCCTGCATGTTCTCTACTGGGGATTGAGCCCCCAACTTGGGTCTATGCCCTTGACTGAATCAAACCCGGGACCCTTCAGTCCACAAGCTGACACTCTATCCACTGAGCCAAATTGCCTAGGGCCAGGCTGTATACTTTTAAATGGTTAATTTTATGTTACGTGAATTTTACCTGAATTTTAAGTGAGAAAAAGAATGAAGTAGTGATACATGGTACTATATGGATGCATCTTGAAAACATTATGCTGAATGGAAGAAGCTAGTCACAAAAGGCCATACATTTTTACGAAGTGTCCAGAATAGTGGTCGCCTAGGGCTGGTGGTGCAGGGGGGAGGCATGGAGGGTAATAGGAAAAAGTATCTAGTTTCTTTGTGGGTTGGTGAAATGTTCTAAGACTGATTGTAGTGATGGCTATATAACTCTGTGAATATACTAAAAATCATTAAATTGTAGACTTTAAATGGGTAAATGTTATGGTAAATTGTGCCTCTGTAAAGCTCTTTTTTAAAAATAAACACAATGAATTAGTGTGGAAGGGGCTCTCTGTCAAGTAAAAGGCAGGGATACAAATTTTTAATAGTATAAACCAGCGGTTCTCAACCTGTGGGTTGAGACCCCTTTGGCGGTCGAACGACCCTTTCACAGGGGTCGCCTAAGACCATCCTGCATATCAGATATTTACATGATGATTCATAAGAGTAGCAACATTACAGTTATGAAGTAGCAACGAAAATAATTTTATGGTTGGGTCACAACATGAGGAACTATATTTAAAGGGCCAGAAGGTTGAGAACCACTGGTATAAATCAATGTGCTAACAGGTCTTTCTCTAAAAGGATCTTGTAGATATTTTGGGAGAAAAGGAAACAGTGGTTGGCAGATCAGATTATCTTTAGGCTCCAGGGAAGGCGACTCCCAACAAAGAAAATCAGGAGGCGGGGATGTACCTAAAATCCTTCCCCTGGGTCTTGAGATGGAGAAAAGGTCTTTATTTCTTTTCACAAAGGCATTGTCTGCTCACTAAATGATGCCTGGGAGTTGTGTCCACCAGATTGAGGGAGGGTAAGGGACTTTTTCTAATTCATCTTATAGGCTAGCTGAGGCCTAACTTCTCCCCTTGCATTATTAAGTCTGTCCCTGCCAGGATCTAATGTCCTATGCTCTAATTGCGTGAAACAGTACACTTTTCATCATCTTCCTATTTGACCTTTATTAGCACTAAGGACTGTTGGCCATTAATAATTAGGACTCTTCCTTTAGCTACCACAGCAGTGAATGCCTTTACTGCACAAACACTGCTACTCAGTTTCTCTTCTTACCTTGTGAGGTAAAGGTAGATGTTATCCCACAGTTTTAACATCCACTCTTCTTTCAGTGGTCTTATCTCATCCTGTCCTGAGTACTCTCAAACCTCAAACCCCAGTCCTGACCCTTCTCCTCAGAGCCTGTTCCTCACTCTTTTGATGGACATCTCCACAGGGATTTCATGTCAGCACTTCCACATGCTACAGGAGTAGGGAGGTGGATGGAGGACACAAGAGATAAATATGAGGAGCATTAGATTCATACAGTTTTGGCATCAAGTTAGGAATAATCAATGGGACAAAGTAGAATGCTTTAAGCTGGGCAAGTATGTCTAATAAAAGGCAACACTGGTTGGGAAACTAGGGAGGCCTCCACAGAAGTGAAGGCAAAGGGTGTTCTGGATTGAAGCACACAGTAGAGGAGACAGCACTACTCAGGCAGTGAAAGTCTGTGTGCGCCAAGATGCCTGGGCTTGTCTTTTCAGCCATTTTTTTTTTAACAGTCAAAGCATGATTTGGGAAGAGCTGGGGGAAGTGAATACACACCACTGCAACTATTTCCCAAAGGTTCTTAGGTACAGCAGTTCTGCAGAACTGATCCCATCTGTGCCAGGTGGGAAGGGTGACTTACACTCCTGCTAGCCCATATAGGACAGTGGGGGCTTCCCCACATCTCAAACACACTCATTTACATTATTTTATTCCACTTTGGAGACCACCCCAGTCCCAAAGATGCATTTGAAACAGGAGTTAAAGATCAAGCCCCACTATGCTTTTTAATTATAAAATAATAAAGTCCCAGATGCCAGTAGCTCCTGGCTGCATGGTGGTAAGAGGTGTGGCTGAGCCTCTCTTGCAGATGATCCAGCACCCTTACAGGCCAGATTAGATTGTTCTTCAGTTCTCCCCACAGCCAGGAGTCAACACCCACAGCCTAGGCTACCCACAGCCTAGGCTACCTCTGCTGGGCCAGAACTAGCTGTTGGAACCAGGAGCTCACAGCACCATCCACTCGCATCACCAAAGCTAGGCCCAGGAAAAGTCCCACGCTGCTCACAATGAAGCCCATGGCCTCAAAAATGAACCTGCAAAGAAAGGTGGAGAATATCAGGGGACACTGAGAGTAGGTCTAGAGCCTTTTCCCTGCTGAGGCAAAACCCTGTCCACTCTGGATGTTCATTCTTTGTTCCCAGTTTCACCCTCTACTTCTCAAGCAAAATCCACTCACTTGGGGGCAAACACCTTCCAGACCATGAGGTGCCTGCGGAGGATGGAGGCTGCCAAAGCACAGGCCAGAATCTGAGGGAGGAGAGGAGCCAAGTTACTTGGGAAGAGAAGGAGGAAGCAGGTCAAACAGAGTTGCTGTAGGCCCCTGTGAAGAATGAGCGAGTAGGAAGTACTGTGTGCCAGTGGGGAAAAAAACTGGGCTTGGGCAAACACTTAGGAGATCTAATTCTTCACCTGGCCCCACCATGACTCGCTGGGTGATCTTGGGCAAACACTATCCATTTGTGCTGCTAACACTCAGGCTCTGCCTCCCAGGTGGAGGAAGATGTCACAATCACACCCCTGCGTCTGAAGGAAAGGAGGAGGATCCATGACCACAGCTTGGGAAAGAATCCTGGCCATCACTTCAGTTTTTCCCGTCAGAACACCAATGGAGTAATCCCAAATGCAACAACAGGGTCTACATCTAGCTTGAAACAATCTAAGTCTAGGTTCAAGTTTCAATACTGCCATTTGAGCTCCCAAACCTTGGGCAACCACTTCACTTATCTGAACCCCAGTCAAGGCTCTCTCCCAGGGTTTTGGCAAAGTATGAAAGAAGGAACGTGATGTTCACACATGAGAAAAGGTCACTAATTCCATGATCTCCCCCCTGAACCCACCTGAATACCAAGGACAAAGAGGTACTTGAGGCCCAGCTGCAGCAGTGCTACGTTGAAGTGGTGAGGCGCATCCCGGAGCCGCATCTCCATCAGTGGCTCCTCCTCCTCCTCCTCAGGCCCAACTCTGGCCTCAGCTTCATTCCCGTGGGGCTGCCGCCTCTTCTGGGACCCTTGGCTCTCACACAGGAAGGGCCAGAGCAGGAGCAATGGGCAACCTACTGCCTCAGAGGAAGGCAGGGCAGAATCAATGGAGGACCCAGGGTCCAGGCGACCTGGCCCTCAACCACCCTAGTTCACTCAGCCTCCAATTAACATAGGCCAAGGGGGGCCAGAGATCCAACAAAATTACATGTCCCCACTCAAATCCAGGGGGTTCCTTTCCTTCTGCAAAGCCAGAGTAAACAGTGGAAGCAATGGAGTGAGGAGGTACCTGCAAAGAGGAGGTGGGAGGCAAAGGTGTTGGCTCCCACCAGCAAAGCAGGCAGCCAGGTAGAGGAGCCATGACCCTCTGGGAATCCCACGAAGGCCGCGTGCCAATGGATGGTTGGAAAGACAGGCTGGTGACCCGTGGAGTAGAAGGTCTGTGTGGCCATGAGGGCCCAAGCAGAGACTGCCTGCCACGGCACAGTAAAAGGACCTGGGGAAAGAAACATGCCTCTTTAGAGTCATATCCCATTTCCTCATCCATAGCCTACCGCCCCACGATCATGTACTACTACTGCTTCAATGCTAATTCTCATACACACACATGCCCATCACCCCAGTCTCCTATCGTCAATATTCTGTTATTCTAATGCCCTCTGAGACACAAAACCCCATTACTCTAATCTGAACCCTTCTGTGGTCAATTTCTTTTCTCCCTCATATACACATTGCTCACTATGACATTATATACGGATAATTCACCACTCCCATGACTGGAAAATCAGAAAATGCACTCATGAGGATGCAGCATTTCCTTAAGAATGAGTCTTACAGTACTCCTTGTCTCCCTCCTTCATGAACCTTGCTGGCCCCCAGAGCTAATGGTAGGAATCAATTAGCTTGGTTACAGCAGATAAGAGAGAGAACATCACAAAGACCCTCCCAACTGTGTGAGGTAGGAGAGCCTGTGTCAAGGTGAAGAACCTGAGGAGCAACACCAGCCTGAAAACAAACTCATATCCCTACTGTCCTTGGATTAATCAGGGCTGAGATATGTATTTACCAGAGGTAGTGATGGGTATCCCAGCAGCAAGCAGATGCAGGAGAAGGAAGCTCTGCAGAAACAGAAGCAGGAACACAAGGCTGATGCGCTCTGCGTGCAATAGCAGAAGTGGGAAGGCCAAGAGGGTGAGGGCCGTGACCATAGCAGCTGAGTAGACACTCCCCAACTGATAGGCAGCCACAGTCAGGGGACCCTGAGATTTTGTTCTCTCCAGCCGGCCCCGGATCTCCTCCTGCATATGTCGGTAGATTTGAGGAACCACATAATCCAGGTCAGCCTGAGAAGTGGGGGGGCCTGAGAAGGGAGTGAGGACAGTCCTCATCCTTGGAGCACCCATCGTAGCCTTTGCCAGCACCGTCACAGGCCTCCAGAGCAACAGCAAGAGCCCTGAAGCAGCCAACCCTGCAACAGCCCTAGGCAGCACAACTGATGCACCAGTAACCAGGGCTCGGAGACGTGGGGGTGCTTCATCTGCTCCCGATGACAATGCCCAGTAGGCAGCAGTGCCCAGGACCATTAGGGGCAGCCCCCAGCGCACAAAGAGCACAGGGGGCTCGGGGCT